AACATCCCAGGAAATCTCTTCTACCAGCCTGAGCATGACCTTGGCCAGGCCCCAGAGCACCCACCAGAAAAATCTCCGAGTCGCCCTGTTTGGGCGCTACTGAGGCTCCCTAGGACATGAATAATGCAGCAGGCCCTCAGCCATCCCTCATCCTAAACCAGGAAGGTGATTCCACCCTTTGCCCTCCACGCGCGTGCTCCAGCTTTTACCTTGACTGGTCGCGGCCATTTCGGGGGTTCTAGTATCGCGAGGATACAGCTGCAGATCGCGGGACGGAGGACTAGGCGTTAGTCATTCGCAGCTGGCTTCCGGCAAGTGGGGCAGATATTTCCAGTCCCGTGGCAGCAAAAGAGGGCGGGCCTGGCACAATGAGACAGCTTTCCTGTCCCGGAGCAGCTGCTTCACCAACCTCAGCTGCAGCCCCACACTCGCGCAGAGGAATGCTAGCTATTCCTGCAGAAAACCTCTTCGCCTTAGGGATGGGTTTATTTCAGGTTTATTTATTTCAGATTGTGCGTATTTATGTAAGCCGTGAGAGTATGTTCATTCCAGTGCTCATTCCAATGCTGTTTCAGTGCTGAAAAACTTATCTTAAACATTTTTAAGGCATTCCAGCCACATTAATAATGTACATTTGTATTATAACGGCTCTTTTGCCCCTCTTTTTAAAGTTTATGTATTTTTAAGAGATTTATTTTTGCTTTATGTATACGGGTGTTTTGCTTGCATATATGTCTGTGCAGCATGTGTGTGCCGAACCCTCAGAGGCCAAAAGAGGGCATAGAATCACCTGGAACTGGAGAGGGGATGTGATACAGATATCTCAATTAGAGCTGAATACTTCATTGTCTCTTATTTTCTGTACGTTTACTAGTTGTGAGTATATTGCAAAAAGAAGCTTCCTAGAGGAGGGTTGAAAGATGACCTATTTATGGGTACAACGGTAAGATATTGGGGGGCAATTTATTTCTGTGTCCATTTAGGAAAGCAGTAGTACTAGGTTCTTCCCATTGACTTAGGCAGCCATGGAGTTTTGGACCCATAACATGTATGAGTTCTGTCCTGTGGAGTGGGCTTTAAACATAAACATAAAGTGATTGGGAGTACCTTGCCATCCACAGCAGCCATTATTATAGCTCACAAGGTTCATAGCTGCTGCCTAAGACTGTTGGCAACTTGTCTCACCCAATAACATGTATATAATCTTACAGCACTGTGAAATCTTGTCAGTGGGGATAAAGCTGTTTTTTTCTCTTTTTTCTTTCTTCCCCCACCTCTATTTTTATTAGCCAGGTCAGTGTCAACTTGATTTTCCTATGTTTTATGACTCAAGATACTTCAGTAATAGGGTCTTACCATCAAGTACTGTAGAATAATTGCCGATAACATTGGCAATAGCCTACCATGTTTGGAGGTCTATGGGGCCAATAATATAAATATAAAGCGCTGGGCTTTATATTTATTAGCCTGTGGTGTTTAGTAGGGGCATTGCCACCCTGTTGCAGGGGGAACTACATTTCAACTCTTATATGCATATTTTAGAAAGCTTCTACAGTAGCGAGTTTCCATATGGCTTTTTTCAGATACCTTTAGTGTTAGTAATCACTCCCCATATTCCTTCTCTATTTGGCCCTTCCATCCTTACCCTCACTTAACCCTTCTTATTCAATTAGTCCTGTTCTCTTTTCATATCACCTGCAGTCTATCCTACTTCCCTTGAAATCTGCCTTCCCTTGCTGGCCCTTGCCTAGTTTTCTGATCTATATGGACACTACAATTTAAAAACATATATCTAAAGATTCAGAGTTATATTCACATATGAGAGAGAACTTGAGAAATTTGTCTTTCTGGGTCTAGGTTAGCTGAGTGAGAATGAATATTTCCAGCTGTCTCCATTTACCTGTAAATTTGATAATTTCATTTTTTACAGGTGAATAATACTCCATTGTGTGAATGTACCACATTTTCATTATCCATTCTTCAGCTGATGGACATCCATTTCCTGGCTATTGTTAATTGAATAACGATGAATATGGATATACAAGTATCCCTATAGTATGATGTAGAGTCCTTTTGGATGTATGCTCAATATAGATGGGACATATGCTAAGTTTGTTCCTAGCTTTTTGGGGAGAAAGGGTGTCTTAGTTAAGGTTTCTATTGCTGTGATAAAACACCATGATCAAAAGCAACTTGGGGTGACAGAGTTTATTTCAACTTATATTTCCAGATAACAATCCATCTCTGATGGAAGTCAGGGCAGAAACTTAGGGCAGGAACCTAGATGCAAGAACTGAAGCAGAAACCATAGAGGGGTATTGCTTAATGACTTGCTCTTTGTAGCTTGACCAGCCTGATTTCTTATACAACTCAGGACCACCTCTCCAGGAGTGGCTCTGCCTGCGGTGACCTGGAGCCTCCCATATTAATCATTAAATAAGAAAATGCCCAGCAGACTTGCCACCGAGACATTTTGCCAACTGAGGCTCATCTTCACAAATAAGTCTAGTTTATGTTAAGTTTACAAAGCAACAAAAACAACAAACAGGACAGAGGGCACTGGTTTCTTACCTGGGTCTCTAGGTCATGTAGGAAGCTAAAGAGTTTCTGCGGGGGAAGCAGTCTGGGATCTGGTTAGTCCCAAAGGGGGCTGCTACTGAGAAGCTTTTACTATTTGTAACATGAATAAATAAAAGACCCAGAGACTGATATTGGGGTTCAAACTTCAAGCTGAAGATCAGAAAAGCAAAGCAGCCACTACCTCTCACCTTAGGCTGAAAGGGCTGATTGACAAATGAGTTCTTCACAAAGTCTCAAACTGCTGCTTCTCCTCAGTGTGGCTGGAGAACGAATACTCTTACTCTTCAGTGTGGCTGGAGAATGAAAAGCCTCTCTGAGACCTTGCTTCTGTCTTATATACTTCCCTAATGTTGGGATTAAAGGTGTGAGCTATAATTCTCTTGTAGACTGATTCACTGTTGTGTAGATCTGTGTGACCTTGAACTCACAGAGATCCATCTACCTCTTAATTCTGAGTCCTAGGATTAAAGGTGTGTACTACCACTGCCTGATATCTGTAGCTTGAGGCTGACTTTTCTTTCTGAATCTTCAGGCAATATTTAATAAATCATAAATGATGTATCACTACAAACAACATTTCATTCAGATTCCAGAATCTTCACCATGTAGTTTCTTTGCTGTTGGTACTGAGGAAGAGACTTTTACAACAGTCTAGGAATCTGAGTACAATTGAGACCTCTTCTTCAGCATTCTATTCCTTTTTCTCAAAGATTCAAACTTGGTAGGAGGCTCTCAGAGGGGAATGGGTTAAGCCTTAGCTCAGCCACCCTATTCCTATTCCAGTTTTTCCTGTATCTGCTTCCAACTGCCAAAAGGGAAGCAATCCTTTCAGCTCTGCTTAGTGCTAATGCTACTGTCACTCTCATAAGATAAACTTCCATAAAATCCTCTACAAAATATTTAGGACTTTTTGCTAACTCATAAAAATTTTACATTTTTCTTCTTGAGAACTAAAGATATTTTAGAGAAGAGTTAATTTTTTTCTCTACTTGAATATTTTCTAGTAATAAAAGCCATGCAAATAGCATTCTTCACTTGCTTCTTTCCAAGCCTTTTCTATTTCTGCTCTAGTGCCACCAGAAGATATTACCTGGGTGCAGTGGAACTGTACTGGAACTATAGACAGAGTGACATGCTCAATGTGCTGCACATGGACACAAGGTAAAAATGCTCTGTTGAACGTAACATTGTAAGGATATGACTGCCTAGAAAAAGGTGCAGACACTAGGCAAGGGTGGATAACTGATAATTAGTTAAGTCCTTCAAATATTTGCAGGTAAGGTGTGTATGCAATCTGATTATTTGCACCATGCTGCTTGCCATTTCTTCTCAAGGACCTAAGCTACTCGTTGATTTTTGTTGTTTGTTCATTGATTCTTTGTTGCATGCTATCACTGTGATTTAGAGAGAAGGATGGGATGAGGGAGAGTGAAGAGGCAAGGAGCACGAGAGAGAAAAGGTAGACTTTCCCTTGGCCTACCCCAACCTTCCATAGAAAGAACTACAGTGAAATTCTCAGGAGTATGCATGTGATAGACTTTTTATATGATATTTGCCATGGCATCAGAAGCTTTTCATCTTTTGAAGGGATTGTGGTTTATCTGATGAGACTAGGCCATTAAATGAGCTCCTAGGTATTATAGTGATCATTGATTTATTTCAATTTTTCTACTTCTTTGTAAATATATTATACCTTGATTGTATAAGGTATTGAAACTGAATTATAAACTAATCTATGATTTTGTTAAAGTAATGTCTGTACTTACATCTCCTTTGTCATTCTTGACCTTTATCTCCCCCTACATTCTTCCCTCTTTTTCTCTCCTTCTTTTTAAAAATAAGACAGGACATTTCCTGATTTTATTGGTTTTTGTTAACAAGTATCTTTTGAGATTATTTGTCAATTCTTTTTTCTATTACTTCAGTTTCTGCTTTTTAATTTCATTAATCCATTCTTTCTAATTTTATTTGAATCACTCTGTTATTCTATTTTTGTTTATCAAGTTGAATGCTGAAATTACTTATTTTATATTTCATTGTGTTTTTTTTTTTTTTTGAGACGGGGTTTCTCTATGTAACAACTCTGGCAGTCCTGGAACTCACTGTATAGGCTAGGCTGGCCTTGAACTCACAGAGATCTACCTGCCTCTGCCTCCCAAGTGCTGGGATTAAAGATGTGTGCCACCTGCCAGGCTTGTTTTTCTTTATAGTTAAATAGAATTCCACTGGTGTACTACATTCTCATTATCCATTCATCAGCTGATGGATATCTAGGCTAATTCCATTTCCTTGCTATTGTGAATAAAGCAGCAATGGACATGGGTATGCAAATATTTTTGTAGTAGAATATGTATTCTTTTAGGCATATACCCAGGAGTAGTGTATATGGTTCATATAGTAGTTCTATTTGTAGCTTTCTGAGAACTTCCACACTGATTTCCAAAGTGGCTGCATCAGTTTATACTCCATGGGTAAGGGTTCCTTTTTCCCCACATCCTCACCAGGATTTGTTGTTATTTTATTTATTTATTTATTTTGGATGATGGGCAATCTAATTGGGATGAGAGGGAATCTTAACATAGTTTTAATTTGAATTTCTCTAATTGCTAATGAATTACTAATTATGTCAAATGCTTTTTAAAGTGTTTATTAGCTTTTGTATTTCTTCTAGTGAGAACTTTCTGTTCAGTTCTACTGCCTTTTAAAAAATGAGTTATTTCTTTCTTACACCTTTCCTGTTTTACTTTTTTTGAGATTCAAATGTAACTACATTTCTCACTTCCCTTTCCTCTCTCCAAATCCTCGACCATATTGCTCACTTTCAAATTCATGGTCTCTTTTTCATTAATTATTATTGATTGGCTATATATATATGTATGTGCATATATATTCCTAAATATAAACTTCTCAGTCTATAATGTTACTCATATTATTTTTTCAGGGCTGACCATTTGATACTGGATGGCAATTGGTATGCTCTTTCCCAGGGAAGACTATTTCTACCTCTCTCATCATTTCTTAGTTGTCTGTAGTTCTTTGTGTAGTGTTGGAGCATCCTGGGATTTTCCCAGTTCACTTTGCATGTCTATTGGTGTCATCCTATTTAGTTCACATTTGGACAGTTATATTGGTGAGACCTTTTGGTGTAGCTTCTGATATTACTAGGAGACACAATCTCATAGCAAAGTCCCTGATTCTCTGGCTCTTATAATCTTTCTACCCACTCTCCCAAAATGTTCCTTAAATCATAGGTGTGGCAGTGTTTTATAGTGTACTGTGATTGGTTGTGGTTTTCTGTTATGATCTCCATTTGTTATAAAGAGATATTTCCTTGATGACAGGTGAAGACTACAGTTATCTCTGGGTACAAGAAAAATGTTTAGATTGTCATTAGGGATTATGCTGATTGGTTTAGTAAAATAGTTGATTCAAATTCTCTTTCAATATCCATAACTGGACTAGCACTGAGTAGTTAGCTAGGTTTCCAGTACCAGACATGGTTTCCCTCTTGTTGAGTGGGTCTTAATTCCAAATAGACAGCTGTTTTAGTTACCACCCAGGTAAGCATGTCACTACTGCACCCTTAGGGTTATCATGCCATTCTGGTCACTAATGTGGTTCATAGGTGTCATAGCTGGGTAGGACTTGGTTGATTCTCTCCTTTGGAATGTTTGTTTCTTGTTTTTGTTTGTTTTACTTTCTTTGTATATTCTAAATTGATCTGTACAATGTATAGCTGGCAAAGATTTTCTTCTGTTGGATAGGCTGTTTCTTCACTGGACAGAAGGTTTCCTTTGATGAACAGGTCCCATTTGTTGACTATTGGCCTTATTTTCTAAGCAATCAAAAATGTTTTATTCAGAAAACCCTTGCCTATTTCTATATCTTGAAGTGTGCTCCCTACTTTTTCCTCTAGAAATTTCAGTTTCATATCTAATATTGAGGTCTTTGAGCTATTTAGAGTTTATTTTCCATATGGTGAGAGATAGGATTTCATTTCTTATAGTTGTAGATATCCACCTTGTCCAGCACCATTTGTTAAAGATGTTATCTTTGCTCCTGTGCATATTTTTGGCCCATGTGTCAAAAATCAAGTGGCTGTAGGATCATGGACTTATATTGGGGTCTTCAATTCCATTTATCTGTCTGTCTTTGTCTCTTTTGTGCTAGTACTATGCTTTTTTTTTACCATCTCTTTGTAGGGTAACTTGTAATCAGCAATAGTAGTACCTCTTGCAGTAAGTATTCTTTTTGCTCGAGATTTCTTTGGTCATGGGGATCCTTTTGTTTCCATATGAATTTTAATATAGTCATTTTATATTTCTATGAAAATGAAGCTGCAATGCTAATTGGGATTGCATTAAATCTGTGGATTGTTTTTGATAGGATGGTCATTTTCATAATACAAATTCTTCCAGTCCTTGAGCATGGGAGGTCTTTCGATCTTCCAATATCTTCTTCAATTTCTTTCTTCAGTGTTTTAAAGTTTTGCTGAAAGGTCTTTCACTTCCTTGGTTAGATTGATACCAAGGTAAGTTTTAAAACAAATTTATGGCTTTATTTATTTTATGTATATGAGTGTTTTGCCTGTGTTCATGTCAGTTCACCACCTGAGTGCCTAATACCCACCACAGAGGTCAGAAGAGTGATCCCCTAGGACTGGAATTGCAGTCAGTTGTGAGCCACCACATGGGTTTGGGAACCAAACCTGGGCCCTCTTTAAGAGGAGCCAGTGCTTGTAACTGCTGAACCATCTCTCCAGCCCCCATCCTAGGTAATTTTTGAGGCTATTGTTAATTGGATCATTCCCCTGATTATTTTGCAGCTGAGGCTTGGCACTGTGAGTGCCAGAAGAGACCATTAGTGAAGATGCAGCCTCAGTAATATTTGGTGTTCCAGGATTAAAGGAATCATGCAGAGAAATTAAGGCCTGGTGCCATGAAGAGAGACTAATAGAGGCTATTGATAAAAGTACGTGTATATCTGTGCACCATGTGTGTTGCTTGTGGCTGCAGAAGGCAGAAATGACATCAGATTCCCTGCAGCTGTAGTTACAGATGGTTGTGAGCTGCCATGTGGTGCTGGGAATTGAACCTGGCACCTCTAGATGAGTAGCTAGTACTTTTAATTGCTGAACCATCTCCCCAGCCCCTGTATTGTCTTTTTAATATTGAGATTTAAAATTATTTATATAGTGTTGATATTACAACTTTATAAGATTTATATTATCCCATGCTGTGAGTAATCTTTTCACATTACTAATAGTATTCTTTCAAGCTCAAAGTCTGTCATTTTGATGAAAACCAACTTACCTGTTTTTTTTTTTAACCTTAGTTACATATACTTTTTGACATCATATGTAAGAAATAGTTGACAGATCTTAGGCTTCATTTTCTTCTAAGCAGTTTACATTTTTAATTCCTACATTAAGGTCTTTGATTAACTTGAAGTTTGTTTTTGTGTATGGTGTGAGAAAGGGATACAGGTTCATTCTATAGTTTACATAGCCTACAATTGAGTACCCTGAGTAGCAGCCCAGAAAATTGGGTATCTGGTATATTATTGAAAAGTTGGCCACTTATCTGTTTGGTTTTGTTAACAATTAATATTGAGAGAATTATACATCATGAAGTGCTTTGCATTAGAATGTAAACCTAGAGGCCTGGCACAATGAATAATACATTTGGTATAAAACTTTATTTAGGAGGGTTGAGAAATGACTCAAGCAGTAAAGTGCTTGCTTTACAAGCATGAAGAACTGATGACAGATCACCAGCACCCACATAAAGATTCTAATACTGGGGAAGCAGAGATAGGCAAATCCTTGGACCTTACTGTATAGTCAGTGAGCTCCAGGTTAAATCTAAAAAAAACATAAAGTGGAATCCTGAGAGATGGCCCAGAGGGTGAGTTGTTTCTTCTCTTACACAGGACTCAAATTCAATTCCCAGCACCCACATGATGGCTCATAACCACCTGTGGCTCCAGGCCTACAGGATCCAAAGCCATCTTCTGGCTTCTGCAGGTACTTGCACTCATGTGGCATATACTCACACAGATACATAAAGATAAAAATAAGGTAGAGAGAGATAGAAGACATCCAACATCAACATCTGACCTCCATATTCACACAAACTATACCACACACACACTAAAAATGTATTTAATGAAGTAAATAATTCATTAGCAGTAAGTCACATGTATTTACCAGAAAAAAGTAGAATTTTTGTCTTTATGTTAACATTTTATAATCTAGATTATTTTGACAACAGGATAAGATGACTCTAAACACATCCTGACAGACTCTGCCAAGGTCTAAAATAAACAGCTAAGGAAATTCAAATTTATATTATCTGTTCCTGCAGCTGCTCAGCTTCTTCTAAGCAAGGGTCAGAAAATATAATGGTTTTTCCAATGGGTTTTAGATAAAATTTGAAAGAACAATTCATGTCAGGGATAATTATTGCCAAGTACATTTGGCAGAATTTATATATCAAATTCCAAGGGAAACAAAAACAATGCCTTCAAAAGTAAGGAGGAAATAAAGTTAGCATGAATTGTAAGACATTTTATCTGTGTTGTTTTGTGCTTCTTCAACAGTGGAAATTTTCCAATAGAATTAACATGTGGTGTGAAGATCTTTCTTCTTTGCACTCACTAATATATCTCTACCCCAGAAATCTTTGTCACTGTTCTTCTAGCCCTTACTAAGCTACTGACAAGAAAACAAAGACATTTGTTGCCAAACACAATCTTATATAACAGGCAGTCTGTATATAACTGAACCCTGTGTGATTTCTCTTTTAATATATCAAACAATTAGTAGCACTGGTTAAATGTTGGCCCATTGCGGGTATTTTGCCTCTACCACTATATATCAATTCCATCAACAAATGGGTTGTGGTATACCAATAGTCAATTTTTATCTTATAGTAGTACTAGTGTATGATGTTGACCCATCTGTAAGCTTGGGGGAGTGGCTCTCCCCAGAAACTGGTCGTCATCAGCTATCTCCTGCAAGACCACAAGTGTGATGAGGCAAAAGATTAGAGGTTCCCCTTTCCCCTGTTTATACAGTTGTCTTAGCCTTCTGACCCATGCAGTTCTCCCATACATTTTTCTGCAAGGAAATTCTATTTACTGGAAGAGCTTCCTTATCAACTCCTTGCCCTTGGACCACAGCCAGTATGGAATGTTCATTGTCAAGGCCTTCCTTTGGCAGAGCCAGTCAACTGGCTCTCGGGTATCTTGGAAACCCTGGAATGGAGTCAAATTCAGGGCTAAATGGAAGAGTGGGCCAGCAGAATATGGTAGGGGTTAGGTCAGCTCCACCTTGTCCTGCTTTGTCAGAGTCCTTGACAGAGGTCTCTGAAATATAAAGTATCAGTTCAGACATTTGACTGCTAGATCCTAGAGGACTGGATTGCTCTTCTATTAGGTTTTTCTTTGTGTGAATGGAGCCAAAGCTGGTCACCACTTAAGAGATCCCTTCTAGATGTTACCTTAGGAAGATCTGCTTCATTCTTTCAGTTACTACTTCCCACTTTTGTTTCTACATTTACACACTCTAGGAGCCACAGAGCCTCCCTCTGAGATGGTACAGTCTTCTGTCTGATGTGCCTCTGTGTCAGTCTGTCTCCTTTCTACTGTTCATCCCTTATGGTTCCTGTAGTATATAACTGCAGAGGACATGTACACACATGTGTGGCAGGGCAGGGAAGAGTTTTTTCTATAGGCAGATGGACAGTTTTATGTTTTGCTGAAAGAGTTCAGACATCACATCTTTCATCCACACTGCTTGTTACAACTTTGGGGTACAAACACAGGGACCTGCTAGGTGGTTCTGCCATGGTATGTACCCAGATGAATTTTCCCATGGTCGCCATAGTGTCTCCATGGTTTAGATGTCTGTATGTCTCATGAAGGAGGTCTTTTTAAAAATATTTTATTTTTATTTTCTGTATGAGTGTTTTGCCTGAATGTGTATGTATGTGCACCATGTATGTACAGAAGCTAGAAGAGGGTATTGGATCCCCTGCCACTTGACTTATAGACAGTTGAGAGTGGCCATGTGGATGCTGGGAATAGAACCTGAGTTCTCTGTCGAAGCAACAAGTGTTCTAACTGCTTAGCCATCTCTCCAGTCCCTTTATGAAGGAGGTCTTATTACCTTGCTCCCAAGCTTTGCACGTGCAATGCAGTTGCACATTTAAGTTTTCAGCTTAAGGATTAGTGTTTCTATGCATTTATAGCTTGCAGTAATTGTGCAAACCAAATTAGACAGAAATACCTCCAACTCTCATGGTTAAAATACTGATAGTTTTTGTTCATCTTTATATGATTTTTATAGCTTTGGGTGTATAAATGTCCTGCTTGATGAAGTAAATGCTTGAACAAAAGCTAATCTTGATTTTATGGCTTTTGAAAGGAACGCAAAAAATTACTGTCTGCATTTTCCTCGTTTTTGTTCTTTCTTTTACATGCAGGAAATTATTGTGGAGAGGAAGGGCAACATCTATATCAACAACTACAGGGAAGAGAAGGAAGCAAGTTCAGGATGCATGTGCATGTTATAATTTGCTTACAGATATTAGAGGAAAGTGAGATGAAGGAAAATATTTCCAGTTGGTTTTTGAAGTGGGATCAAATAAAGACCTTCAAAATGACTGACCTTTTCTTTTCTTCATCCAGATTTCTTCCTAGAATGCCAACATCTTTTCCATTCAACACCTCCATCATGTACAAAAAGACTGTGTTTGTAGAATACATGGACCACCTCTTCAACATGGCTAAGCCCAGGCCACCTTGGATGGGTAATGAAAATAATACTGAATTGCTAATTTCCTAGCAAAAATGCCTAACCTCAACGCTGTACTTATAGAGGGTAGTTACCAAAGGTTATATTCTTTAACCAGGTGTCCTTAACTGCTACTTTCGGGAAAATATGCTGACTAGATTTTCTATCTTCTCTACTTGGCTTCTACAAGCTTGGTCTTGAATTATTTCCTTTTCTCTCTCTCTTCAGTCCAGTTGTATCTTCTATAGTTTTAAAGCTTTAAATTTTCACCTATATTCTAATAACTCCACTTCTGTATTTAATTTTAACCCCATGTCTAAATATCAACTCTTTATCTCCACTTAGATGTCAAATAAGCATGTAACAAGATCTTAAGATATTTATTGCATTAACAATGTTTTTTATCAATACTAGCCATCTAATCTAGAGCCTTGAACATGTTCAGCAAGTTCTCTACTACTGAGCAACACCACTATTACCTGTCTTAGAAATGTTGCTGAGAATTTTAGGAGACAAATACTGTCATGTTTAAAGAGAGATCTGAGCCTTGATTAAGAATTTTTTTTCATGTAGTAGCAATAAACTGGTTCTTCAAACCCTGGCCCATGATCCTTCTGCAGCCTATATGAAAGAAGGATAAAAACATATAAGCTTTACTATTGAGAATTTCTTTGGAAAACACTCTTGGTCTGCTCCCTACTCAAAAATGGGAGTGAGGCCACTTGATAAGGATGATTAGGAAAAGAAGTCAAGAATTGTATGAAGCTGCCTAAAAAAGTAATTTTACTTGTTGAAATTTTTTGAGTTGTTTAAAACTTAGCAGGAGGATAAAGAGAGTTTTAGCATTCAGGGGACATCAGGCTAGAGAGATGGCTCAGAGGTTAACAGCACTTGTTGCTCTTGCAGAGGGCCTGGTATTTACATGGTGATTCACAACCATCTGGAACTCCACTCCTCAATCCAACACCCTCTTCTGACTTCCTTGGGCACCAAGCACACATTTGGTGTACATGGACATGCAAGCAAAAACACTCATAGACACAAAATAAAATAAACAATAAAAAGATTCAGAGGACATAAAAGTTTGTCATTAAAAGGGACTGAAATTGTTAACACCTAAAAACATTAGTGTCTATTAATATCTGAAGATTACTAGAAAAGATTTAGGCTTGATCAAAGTTGCAAGAAAGAAAAGTTCTACAGAATGCAGCAAAAAAAAAACCCTGTAGTCATCTTGGAAAAACAAAACTATTTCATATTTTCATACCACTGACTTCAGTTAATTCAAAAAACCACTTACAGGCATCTTATGAAAACACCCACATACTATCACTCTTAATTTCCTCTTGATTTCTGTGTTATAATCTAAATTCAGTCATAGGAATCACCTATGATCTCTCCATTTTTTCTCTCCCTCCTTCCCTCCTTTCCTTCTTCCCTCCTTCCCTCCCATAAGGTCCTATATACTGTGTTCCCTGTATACATCTCTAATCTTATTTTTTATTATTCTACTGGTCATTGACATTAATTCAGCCATATTATTAAACTATGCCAAGTTTATTTATGCATCAAGACTTTTGCATTTGTTTTATTTGCTTTTAATGTTTTTCTCCTAGATAGCTGAATTAATGAAACATTGAATGACTTATCAGAAATATTTCCTCAGAATAACCCTGAGACTGAACTAGGGTTAGTGGAAAGTATAACTGCTATTCATCAATTTCAAAGTGGCATGCTTTTCCACTGTGACATTAACCCTCACTTTTATGATGACAGGCTTTCTGGTAGGTTATCCTTCAAGTAACTTTTGAGGGGCATCTCATTTCAACAGGTCTTCTGGGTCCTACTATTTGGACTGAAGTTCATGACACTGTGGTCATTACACTTAAAAACATGGCTTCTCATCCTGTCAGTCTCCATGCTGTTGGTGTTTCCTACTGGAAAGCTTCTGAGGGTAAGTCAAATTCTCTCCTATTGCCTTGTCATTCTGGTTATAGAAAGATTATAAACATGTTCTTGGTAATAAGCGCAATGTCACTCCATTTTGGATTACTACAAAATTACACTTAGCTGGACACCTTACAAAGTAAGAGGATTATATAAGTAATAGTTCTGAGTTCGAAGAGCATCAGCTATTATGACAGCTCCATGTTATATAGTATAATAAGGGATCATAGATGTAAACAACTGAAACAGTGAGCCAAAATTAACCTTTCCTTCTTAAATATCTCAATGCTATTACATTGGGACCAAGTCTCCAGTGCAAGAAACTTTGAGGGGCATGTCTAAACCATAACAGTGTCACACCTTGAATTGTATTGATTCTCTCTGGTATAGATGCATTGAAATTTAATAACAGTAGCAGCAGTAATTACTTATATGTGCTGGGTTCAAGGCCATGTGCTTGCCAGTGACAGAATCAGGTCCACAACTAAGCCTATCCAACCCTAAAACTTGTGCTCTAAACCACTGTTCTATACTGAAAGGACCAATGATTCAATAATGCCTTCAGCATCATTTTTTCTCACAATTTCTGCTCTGTATTCCTTCTTTTTTATTTCATTCTTGGGCAGAATTCTTTAACATTATGACAAAGATAGCCACTGAAAACTTGCTTTGATTTTTACAGATGGTGGTGATGATAATGGAATATTTTCCTATATGTCTTGATGCTGAACAATATGGAAAAGCTATAGAGGGAGGAAAAACATCAGCCATATTTAATCTGCCTATGAAAAGGTCTTGTCACACAAGAAAGAGAGTTTCACTAATATAAACTTTTATAAGTAGTTCCCAAGAAAGGCAAAAACTCAAGAAGCAAAGTGATCTTTAATTGAGACCTCTATCATTTACAGTCTCTGATGTTAGTTCTTCAATTTGTATTTCAAAATTACTAGAATGCAAATATTTCAAGATAGGTTTATTACATATATTTGTTCTTTCACTAGAATATAACATAATAGCATATAGTCATTGTTCTGTATAAGAACAAAGGTATATCTGCAGCATGGTCTTGACGCCTTTGCTCATCCCTCCTCAAAAACAGCTGACTTGACCAAGTGGGAGCACACAGACCCCTGATGGGGAATGTACTTCTGTGTATGTTCATCTTATTGATTGTTGAATAAAGAACTGTTTGGCCAAGGAGGCAGCAAGTTAGACGGAACTGGGAGTCAAAGAGGATTCTGGGAAATGTAGTAAAGAAGTGATCCAGGAAGGAAGTGACATAGCAGGGAGAATCATATTTAAGGAAGGAGAAACAGGAAGTGGTCCTTTTCCCCCTTCTCACTTCCTCCAGAGGCGCCATGTGATCCACCGGCAAGAGAGGGCGCCAGCGGAAGGCATCCTCTATAAGATAAGTCTCATAAAATATATAGATTTATGATAATTAAGACTGAGCTAACAGATGAGAATTCTAGTCATTGGCCAAGCAGCATTTGTACATAATAGAAGTCTCTGTATACTATTTGGGGACCTAAATATATAGATTTATGATAATTAAGACTGAGCTAACAGATGAGAATTCTAGTCATTGGCCAAGCAGCATTTGTACATAATAGAAGTCTCTGTATACTATTTGGGAACCTAACTTGGTGGGCAGAACTCGGGCAGCTGGCGTAAAGCACACACGTGGCTGTGGGGCTCAGGTGGCTATTGGTGGAAAGATTTATCCTAACACACCCCAGTTGTAAAGCTTGGGAACCAGCATTGGACCAAACCAGGCCCCCTGAATGTGGGTGTCAGTTAGGAGGCCTGGGCAGTCTATAGGACCTCTGACAGTGGAACCAGTATTTATCCCTAGTGCACGAAAGGGCTTTGGGAGCTCATCCCCCATGGAGGGATACTCTCTCAGCCTAGATACATGGGGGAGGGCCTAGAGGATATCATTCATAGTCCCTTAATCACATTTATGTAAAATAAGCTACCAGGTATTCAATTAACATTATATAAAACTGAACACATGAATTTTAGCTTCCCAAAATCTTTGTGAAAAATTGTTTGATGATTACAAATGGAATATGCATAATTTGAGAATTGTCTGATATCATCTATTTCTCTACATATGTATTCTAAAGACTAAGAACTAAGATTATTCCAGAAGAAAGCAAACAAGAGGCATTAAACCTGTGTCTTGTTATTGACATCAGGGAACTATAGGCAGATTTAATAGTAAAAATAGGGATAGTGAAGCTAGGCTTAATAAAGAATTAGTGTGTGCTATATGCAAATACACAGAGCTGTTTTACATAAATTTAATACGATTATTTAATCAGTACTCACATTTATTGTTCTTTTTTATTTAATTTTTACAAAAAAATAATGCCCCACCCACACCCTCCCCCCTCCACTCCCCATGGAGGGTAGGGCCCACCACAGGGGCTCCCCATATTCCACAACATCATCCTGGGCCGGGCCTAGACCCTCCCCCATGTGTCCAGGCCCAGAGAGAGCACCCTTTCACCTGGGATGGGCTCTCAAAGTCCATTCTCACACTAGGGAAAGATACTGATCCACTACCAGGGGCGCCATAGAGTGCTGAGGCCTCCTCGTTGACATCCGCTTTCAGGGGTCTGGATCAGTCCTGTGATGGCCTCCCAGACATCAGTCTGGGGTCCACATACTCCCCTTGTTCAGGCCAGCTGTTTCTGTGGGATTCATCAGCCTGGTCCCAAACTTTTTGATCTTCATTCCTCCCTCTCTGCAACTGGGTTCCAGAGTTCAGTTCAGTGTATACATGTGTGTGTCTGCCTCTGCTTCCATCAGCCACTGGATGAGGCATATAAAGTAGTCATCAGTCTCATTATAGGGGAAGGGCATTTAGGTTATCCTCTCCATCAAGCCTGGGTTGTCAGTTGGTGTCATCCTTGTAGATCTCCGGAAATCTCCCTAGTGCCAGATCTTTCCTTGGACCTATAATGGCTTTCTCTGTTATGATATGTCTCATCCTACTCTACTCTATTCTTCCCCCAATTCAAACTTTCTGCTCCTCTATTTCCTCCTCTCCCTCCTCTTCTCCTCCTCCCATTCTGCCAGCTCCCTCTTCCCTACCCTCATGCTCCCAAATAGCTCAGGAGATCCTGGCCTTTCCCATTTTCTGGGGACCATTTATTTTTTTTCTTAGAGTCTTTCTTGTTTCCTAGTTCTTTAGTGAAGAGGATTGAAGGCTGGTAATCCTTTGCTCTATGTCTAAAATTCATCACTGCTATGAATATGGTTGAACATATTTCCTTGTTGTATGAATGTGCATTATTTGGGTATATGCCCAAGAGAGGAATTGCTGGGTCTTGAGGTAGACTGATTCCCATTTTTCTGAGCAACCGCTATACTGATTTCCAAAGTGATCTTACAAGTTTGCACTCCCAGCAGCAATGGAGGAGTGTTCCTTTTTCTCCACATCCACTCCAGCATAGATTGTCATTGGTGCTTTTGATTTTAGCCATTCTGGCTGGTGTAACATGGTATCTCAGAGTTGTTTTGAGTTCCATTTCTCTGGTGGCTAAGGATGTTGAACACTTTCTTATGTGTCTTTCAGCCATTTTAGATTCTTTGGTTGAGAATTCTCTATTTAGTTCTGAGCCCCACTTTTGAATTTCATTGATTGGTGATTTGGTGGCTAGCTTCTTGAGTTCATTTTATATTTTGGAAATCAGCCCTCTGTCAGACGTGGGGTTGGTGAAGATGTTTTCCCATTCTGTGGGTTGTTGTTTTGTCTTACTGACTGTGTCCTTTGCCTTAGAGAAGCTTCTCAGTTTCAGGAGGTCCCATTTGTTAATCGTAAATCTCAGTGTCTGTGCTACTGGTGTTAGGTTCAGGAAGTGGTCTCTGTACCAATACATTGAAGGGTATCTCCCACTTTCTCTTCTAGAAGATTCAGTGTGACTGGATTTATGCTGAGATCTTTGAACCATTTACACTTAAGTTTTGTGCATGGTGACAGATACAGATCTATCTGCAATCCTCTGCATGTTCGAATCTAGTTGTACCAGCACCATTTGTTGAAGATGCTATCTTTTTTTCATTGTATAGATTTAGCATCTTTGTCAAAAATAAGGTGTTCATAGTTGCGTGGATTAATATCAGGATTTTCATTTTGATTACATTGGTCTGTCTGTCTATTTTTGTGCCAATACCAAACTGTTCTCTGGACTATGGCTCCATAATAGAGCTTGAAGTCAGGGATGGTGATGCCTCCAGAGGTTCCTTTATTGTACAGGGTTGTTTTGGCTATTCTGGTTTTTTTGTTTTTCCATATAAAGTTGAGAATTGTTCTTTCAAGGTCTGTGAAGAAGTGTTGGGATTTTGATGGGGATTGCATTGAATCTATAGATTGCATTGGCAAGATTACCATTTTTACTATGTTGATTCTTTCTACCTATCTAAGAGCATGGGAAAACTTTCCATTTTCTGGTATCTTCTTTAATTTCTTTCTTTAAAGACTCACAGTTCTTACTGTACAGGGCTTTCACGTTTTTAATTTAATATTTGTTCTAGTTAGGGAACAAGCTTGTTTCACATGTAAGTCCCTTCTCCCTCTCCCTCCCCTCATGCCCATTCCTCTCCCCGTTCTTCCCCCAACTCAACCTTCCTGATCCCTCACATTCTCCTTCCCATTCCCCTTCTCCCCTCCTCTTTCTCCTACCTCTGTGCCCCCATGGTCCCAGTTTACTCAAGAGATCTTGTTCCTTTCCCCTTCCCGGGAGGTCCATGTATGTCTCTCCTAGGGACATCCTTGTTTCCTACTTTCTCTGGGGTTGTGGACTGTAGGCTGGTTATCCTTTACTCTATGTCTAATATCCACTTATGAGTGAGTACCATGTTTTTCTTTCTGTGTCTGGGTTATCACACTCAGGATAGTTTCTACTAGTTCCATCCATTTGCCTGCGCATTTCAAGATTCCATTGCTTTTTTCTGACAGACCCCTTCACTCTTCATTCCTCCCGCTCTTCAACTAAA